GTTGTATGATGAATTACACTTATGACCTTACTATACTTATATGTCTTGACCATACTTCGCTTTGAAAATCTTAAGTGTTCTAAGCTAATTCCTACAGTGGATGAAGGGACTCAAGAAAAACTGTCAGTATCTTCATTACTCTCCTTGGATGAAGTCTGGATTAACAGTTGCTATGGGCTTAACCCTGAGGCATATTGTACAGAATGAAGTCAGAACATTTGAATCAAGTATGTATATGAAGAGACTTACCAAGCAATAGAGAATAGGGAGAATAAACTTGTAGCTGTCTAAGTGAAGCTTATATACCACATGCTTCAAGGCAATTCAAGAGGGAAAGGATGGTTGGCACCATTCTTTGGGCTCTCTGTATGTTTAATATTAGCTGATTTTCTTTCTGATAATGGATTGTACTTAAACATCTTTTGAGATATTGCAAATATCTCTACAAATAGATATTTGTAATATCTAATATATTCTAATATATTAATATCTGTAATCTCTAATAAATTCCCAAAGATGCCTGTAAATAGAAAATATGGGGATGATGAAGATGATTAGTGGAATTAAGATGTGAAGAAAACACATCTAAGATGGTGGTCTCAGGAAGAAGATGAAAATGGAAACTTTTAATACCCAGGCCAGTGGGGACCACAGTAGTTTTTATATTACTACTGTTAGAAGGTTTATTAAGTCAATTTAAAATTAAGCAAACAATTAAAAACATGATGAAGATAGGAAATGGGAACAGTTTCTTTTGTGGAAAAAAAAAAAACCAGACTATTTCAAGACATCTGTACCCTATCTTCATAAGGTAGGCTAAGTTTAACTTCTTTGAACTTCTTGGATAAAATCAGTGGTTTTCAAAGGAGTTTTATATTTGTTTTCATATGGCTTGATGGTTGGAGGTGCATGTTATAAAGGTGGTAAGGAGATGGCAAATAGATTGGATGCCAGGATTTTAAATTCTCCCCTTTTCCCATTCATCATCCAACAAAACACATGGACTGTTTCATCACTCTTATACTCTGAGATTTTGAATTATATACCATTAGAAAAAGGGCCACACTGCTAAATATAACATTTCAAAGTATTTGTTCTGGAATATCCTTAAGGATCTATTTGATTTCAATATTGTATAAATTCTTAGGCCTAGAAAAACCAACCTCAAATCTGTGACACCAGAACAGATGGGCTGGTTTACCCTCTCTGGACCCTTGTTCCTCTAGCTATGAAATAAATGGTTTGAATAAAATAATTATTGTCACTTTTAGCTATAGGATTTTATGTGCATCATGGCTCGGCATTCTGGGACCAGGAATAGAAAAGACTCCGGATATGGGCAGCGAGCATGTCCATAGGATCTGATGTTATAAAACTCTGAGATTTTGCTGATCATAGGTCTGATAGGTTTCATGCCCAAGAGCAGAGCACAGGCAAAGCTGAGGCAGGAGCTTATTGTATATGGTTGAGATTGTCACAGTGCATTCGTGGAGCAAGGTGTGACACCTAAGGGCAGGAAGGGGCTAGCTTAAGGTAGTAACACATGTAGAGAGAAGTCAGACTTGCATTCTGGTTCTTGTTCTATTCTAGGCTGGTGACTTATAAAAAGTCCCGTAACCTTCCTTTATCATAGAGATCTCCATCTGTAAATGAGGTATTTTTACTATTTGAGCTTTGTGGGTCTCTCTTGGACAGGAAGGATAGATAATAAGGACTTCCTACCCACAACTTTTTTTATAAATTTGATTTTGAGGATATATCTGAAATGATAAGATACAGTGGGGTCAGGGTTGGCTACTTAGGCAACAATCTAAGGAATCAAGTTGTTTTGAAATTAAGATTTATTTTGGGTCTCTTTTGAAAATCTGAAAATACTCTAATTTTTCTGGTCTTTTACACACCCAGAGAGCTTTAAGAATACCGATACCTGGACCCCACTGCAGATCAATTAAATCAGAATATTTGGGAACATTTGGGTTTTGGATTTATTTTAAAATCTCCCCAGGAGAATCTATTATTTAATGTTGAGGACTTTTGTGTTGAAGGAGTTTATCACAATTTAGAAATGCTAAGTAACTAGCACACTATTTGTTTTGAACTTAAGTAGGGAAGCTAGCTCACAGAAGTTGAGATAAGAAAAGCACTTTCTTATTGCAGTATGGAGGCATTGTGAATATAGATGCAATGGAAATTCCATCTGCAAAAGAGAGGATTATAAAACTTCTGTGGGCAAAATTTTACCTTTGTACTTTGGATGTTTTTTATAGATCTGAAGGTGAATTTGTGTGCTTCAAAATGTTTAAGTTTATTTTTATTTGTGGACATTCCTGATGCAGCCATAACTGATATATTTGAGTTTAATCACCCATTGGTTCTTCTGAAAACCACAAAGAGATAGGAAGCCTTTAATTCGGCATATTTTCAGGCTGTGTGTAGGTTGGACAAATAAAGATATAAGTGCTCAAGACAGCTCCACATGGTTAGGTATGAGCAATTCAAACTGTAATAAGTGACAGATTTAATATGAAATGTTTATGGACAGGGGTGATTCCATGAAAGGAAATGAAATTAAGTGACCTGTTTGCTGTGATCTGGAAATATCTGCATCAAATAAATTGGGTTAGAATCTCTGTCACTCAGAGCAATGAACACAGTGGGAGTCATCACATTCCCTAATTGCCCTACATGACGGATTTTTGATGTCTTGAAAAGATCTGGATTTCTTCAAATTGTTTAGCCCAGGAGAGAAGCAGATTTTCTGATTTTTCATGAGAAATACTCTTTTAGAAATATATTTACAAATGCTTATCAAAGTGCTCTTTGAAGTAAGTTTTGTTTTCTGATGTGATGTCTCATCATCCACAATTTCAATCTCTTTCCCTTAGGAAAACACCACCTAGTATCAGTCCCAGATGAGCACTCACATAAAAATGTTTACTAATGGTAAATGATACATGACAAAACAACATGGAGATAGTATTTTTACTATCATAACCATCTAGAAAAAAGCCTTGAGGATTAGTCTGAAAGATATATTCCAAACTTCTTATATATTTAATGTTTATTGATTGCATGTTATGTGCAAAGTAATGTATTAGATGATGGAAGGGAATAAAATGGACTGAATTTTTTCAGTGAATAGCTAGAAATTTTATTCTACAAACATGCTAGATGTTACAAACACAGCAGTTGAAACTTTAAAGAAACTCACTCAAGAGAAGGAAGGGCACTTGCAGAGCTGCTCCTAGTGAGAAAGTAATGAAAGTTCTTAGCCCACAAATAAGATTTTTTCAATATCTGCTAACAGCAGTAGGTATTACTTTTAGGGCTAAACTATTTCTTTTTTTTAATTTTTATTTTTAAATAATCTCTACACCCAACATGGGGCTTGAACCTGCCACCCCAAGATCAAAAGTTGCCTGCTGGGGGAACTTGGATGGCTCAGTCAGTTAAGCATCCAACTCTTGATTTCGGCTCAGGTCATGATCTCAGGGTCATGATACAGAGGCCCACCTTGACCTCCATGCTCAGTGGGTAGTCTGCTTGAGATTCTCTCTCCCTCTGCCCTCTCCCCCCCACATGTTCTCTCTCTCTCAAATAAGTAAATAAATCTTAAAAAAAAAAATGTCGCATGCTCTACTGATTGAGCCAGCCAGCCACCTGAGGGCTAAACAGTTTCTTAGAGACTTTTGAAATTTTACTTTATTCTAAATCTCCTATAGGGTTTGATTTTTTTCTAGTTCAATTTAATAAACAAACCTCCACTGATTGCCTATTTATAAGAGCTACAATGTTAGGGGTGCCTGGGTGGCTCAGTTGTTAAGTGTCTGCCTTTGACTCAGGTCATGCTCCCAGGGTCCTGGGATCAAGCCCCGCATCGGGCTCCCTGCTCTGCAGGAAGCCTGCTTCTCCCTCTCCCACTCCCCCTACTTGTGTTCCCTCTCTCGCTGTGTCTCTCTCTGTCAAATAAATAAATAAATAAAATTTTAGAAAAAAGAGCTACAATATTAGATGATAGATATTACAAAGATAAATATATTACTGTCATCAAGAAACATATACGAGGAAATGGACGTGTGAAAACAAGTAATAGAGCAACACACACACACACCAGATCAGAATTAATCCAAAAAGATGATCTTAAAGATTTACCACAATTGTTTGGATCATAATTTATTTATAATGACTAAATTTGGGAACAAAAACTGATGATGAATTTTCTTAGCGTTTTTATATTATTTATATTATTATATTATTACATTTTGTGTTACAAACATTCTTTGTAACTATTAAAATAGCAATATACACTCTAATTTTTTGAAGGTCCTGTATTTTATAATTTGATTGTAAAGCAAGTCCTGCCATGTGAAAATTAACTAAGCTGATTTAATTGAAATATTTTTTCCCTCATAGTATAAAAAACCATGTAATTGACTTTATCAATATTCTAAGTATTAATTTTTCCAAATCCTTATGGTTAAGTCAACAGTTAATTTTGCAATGGCCATTAGTTCTGATAGACTATCTGAACTCATAGTTGGTTTACTTTTCTGAAAGATTTCATCTTCAAGTTACCAAATATTTTCTTCTTGGCAATAAAAGATCAGCAGACCAGTTACATTGTATAATTTTACTTCAGCCAGAATTCCATGACTCACATTGTTTCTAAATGACAGTATTGATCTAAGTCATTCTGAATTAAAAATGCCAGAGAAACTGGTTGGTCAGAGAAGGAAAAGCAATTGAAATTGGTCATGCCAATACCTTTTTATTATAAATGACCCAGTTGACAAATTGAGCATGAAGCCTGTTTCTAAAGCCATTTCTACATTTTTGCTTTCAGTTCCACATTCAATAGTCATGATTTATATTGAGCTACCTCAATTTTGAATAAAATGTCTTCTTGATTTTCTCATTATTCCACATACTGCAAAATAGTCATTTCCAAGGAGATTTTTTATTGATATGAGAGCTTTATTAAGAACAAATGATATACTTACTCTTTTGGAAACACTGGAAGACAAGTCCAAGCCAATAAATTGGCATTATTGGTTGCATAGACAATCCCAAACAATCTTATAGTGAGCATGGATTCCCTTGGAAGTGACTTTATTTCAAGAGGAAAATTGATCCTTAAAATAAAAGAAAAAAGTAGATTATCTACCCAGTTACAATGATATTTTCATAGATATTTTTTAATATAATGGTATGTGATAAAATTAACTTTTTGAATTGAGGGATCTTTTTGAACTTTTGTGTTTGATCTTGTAAAAATGGGAATACGGCAGAAATATATAGAGTAATGAGATGGGTTATTCAATCAATGGGGATTGCTTTAATTATAATTTTGACATGTAAGCTTATTTTTAAAATTTATAATGACTTATGCATTTACTCTTTGTAAACACAGAAGAAAGAATGACTAACATTGTCTTAGGGAATGGGGGAAGGAAGGAAATAACTTGAAATGGGTCTTAAAGAGTAAGTTGGCTATAATTAGATGGAGATTTGGAAAAAAAATATTCCAAGAAGAGAAAAGTACATAGACAAGGTCATTCATTCATGGAAAGATTAAGTGTAGCTGAGAAATGGTGAGTACCTCATTGTGGCTAGAACGAGGGATGTGGTCAAGTTGGTTGGGGAAGTTATAGAGGATGTCATTGAAAAAGGTAGGTAGTTGCCAGAATGCTTAAGAACTCTGTATGCCAGGCAAGGGAATTTGAGCTTTTTCTTAATGGCAAAAGGGAATATTTTCCCAAGACAGCTAAAAGTATAGACAGTTGTTTACGATTTTAAATGTGAACCATTCTGGGTAAGAGATCCCCAGGCTTTTGGGGGATGACTGCTAAAACGTAATGGACATACCAATTTCTGGATAGGTCAAGATGAAGGAATCCCAAATACAGACCCTGGATGGATTGTTGATATTGGGCAAAAAAGGCAACCAAGGATAAACACAGGATCGTTAATGGTGAGAAAAACTTGAATTCAGATATCAAATCCATTAATATATAAAAGAGAATGTCTAGAAGGTTACAAATGATACTATAAAGACTGGGAGGGGTACACCTGGGTGGCATAAGTGTCCAAGAAGAAAAAGCTTTGACAGAAAGTTGAGAGTGTGATCTGAGGTCTCTAATGGAGGGTAGGGAGAAGGGTACTTTTCTTTCCTTTTTGGAGTCATCTTAGTCATATAGAAATGATCAGATTCTATTATAAGAATATCAAGACAAGTATGGCATTTAGGAGAGATCTATTTGTGAGACAAGGAAATGAAAGACATCAAGAAATTTATATGTTTGCTAGAAAATGAGAATGCTAGGAAGAAATGGAAAAACTAAACAGAGGTTAGCAAAGTGAAGACTCATGGGAGCCGATTCACCAAAGGATGGGAAAAGAAAAAAAGTGACTGGAAGAGCAAATGGGACAGCTTGTATTGTATGATAACTGATGGTATTAGGTTGAGGAGTATAAACAGAATCCACTGGCCTTGTGATTCCCAGTTGAATTTTGACATCAAATTGTTTAAACAGTAGGTAATTAGGAGAGGACTGATGATGACCAAATCCAATGTTCAATTGGAAGGTGCTGACTGAGTTAAATCCTCAGGTAATATTGAGCATTTTCTCACAGTAGCAGTTGGCTGTCTAATCTGGATATTAGGGAGAAGTCTTTACTCAAAGTGTCAAATAAGACATTGGTGACCCCCTTTTATGAGTGGCGGGGGGGTCAGTATCCAGCCTAAGAAATAATGAGGTGTCAATTCAGCTAGTGACCATACTGATTTTGAAGAAGTACACACCCATCTCCCCAATATGCTCTTCCCTGTGATAAAGAGCCCCAGATCCTGGGTGGCAATAAAGCAGCTAACAAGAGAGAAGACAGAAGAGCTATTTTAGAGGTAAAATGAATAACTAATATTTGACTGACAACATATTAGTAGAATAGGACAATGAAGAATTAAAGATGAATTCTAGACTTCTAGATTACGTTATAGTTGATAACTTTAACTGATACAGAAATATAAAATAAAAAGGAAATTGAGATGGGGTAATATGTGCAGTTTAAGGCATGATATAATTGATTAATATTAATTCTGAGATGTCCATATGTAAGCTGTGTGGAGAGGACAGTGAGAAGTTTGGACCTGGATATATTTGCATTCAAATATCAGCCCTATGACTAATAAGCCTCATTTTTCCTTATCCACATAATGGATCAAACATTGTATAAGACAACAGGTGGCAAATGGTAGCAATACATCAGTAATACATTCATTATTCAATCAATAAAGTAATGATTTATATTAACCATTGTAGACAGATGAAATTTAATTCTAGTTAAATGTAGGGAAGGGAAATAAAGTGAAGACTATGGTAAAGAAAATCTATTTTTTCAAGATTAGCAAAGTTTAGATTATTAAAAAATTAATTTGTTTTATATTTAGATATTTAAAAGTCTTTCTTTTCCTTCATATTCTTTCACACTCATAATATCCACTTAAGATAATGTGGACATACTTCTCAGCTTAGAAGAAGTTCTGAAACTCAACATAAAATGTTGATGCTCTTGTGGAATGCACAGTAATTTCTTGAATGTTCTCTCTTTACTTGTAATTGATTTTCTATTCAGTTTTCATGTTTCTGTGCTAGAATGAAAGCTATAATTTCACTGTATTTCTCACCTAATCTAGAGTGTTCTTTTTCTCATTGAGTCTGGCTTTTTCATGTCTAACTTCACTTATTAGTGAGCTTTCACCTCAAGAATGACAAAAATTCAATAAGTTACAGTGGATAGTTACTGTCAATCTCCATTTTGTCATTTTTTATTAATAAGAATAAATTCTTCTAGGAAAGAATACATGCTCTCTGAATAGTTATTTATTCATTTCTTGAATACCTATGGATTTTTAAAGTCAGAATAATCTCACATTCACTGGAAAATCTTTTTTTTAAACTTCTACACAGCTATCGAAAAATCAAAGGAATGAACTTTTAGACCAAAAAAAGGAGAAAAACACTTAAAGGGACAAATCAGTAAGTGAAGTTGAATTGCTCCTTTTTATGCAAGCAGCTGGCATAGACTGCAAGTTTTAACCATATATTTACCTTACTCTACTGCTGAAAAAATGAATAAACACGAAAATTTTTCTGAAATTTTTTTCCTTCTATATGCAATAGTTTCCCTAAGACCAGAGTTAATTTCATAGTGAAAAATGGGAGATTTAATAAAATCACAATGTTTAGAACTCTCCTTTTAATACTGATATTTGACAACACAGCATTGTAAGGATTTTTGTGATGTTAAACAGGAAGCCAATTCAGGACTTTTAAACAGAATAATAACATAGCCTGACTTTCATTTTAAAAGAAGTCACTTTAGCTACTGTGTGAGAAGGACTATAGAGGTGCAAGAGAAGTAGGGAGACCATTATATAGCTACTGTGGTAATTCAGGGGAGAGAGAATGAGGGCCTAGACCAAAGAAAGTGATGAGAAGTATTCTGAAGGGAGAGCCTGTAGGATTTCCTGGACATGGGATCTAAGAGAATGAGATTCAGGGTAAAGATGTGACCTGAACAACTGGCACTGAAAATGACAGTCCAGGGTGGCTATCCATGGATGGAACAAGTTTGGAATGTAAGCTTAAGAGTACTGTTTTAGACATGCTGAATGTGTAAGTGTGGAGTTTGTGACTGATGCCTGTGTTGGTGATATAATTTTTGGAGATTCTGACATATAGACGGCATTCAAAGCTATGTGATGATAAGAGAAAGCTAAAGGAGAAAGGTAAATACAACAGAAAAGAGGCATAAGTGCTAAGACCATGATCAGTCTGTGGAAAGAAAAGAAATTAGAGAAGGAATGTCCAGTACAGGAGGAGGAAAGCAAAAAGAATATGGGAGCCAAGAGGAGAGCATAGTTCAAGACGGAGGGTGAGATCAACAGTGCCAAATGCTCCTAAATAGATCATGTAAGATGAAGACTGAGAAACTAACATTAGATTAACTATGCAGGTCACTAGTGACTCTAATGGGCAATTTCAGTGAAACAGAGGAGATGAAAGCCTAATTGGAGTATATTTTAGAGCAGAGAAAAAAAAAACTGAAGAAAGTGAATATATACAACTCTCTGGAAGGGTTTTACACTAAAGCAGAGGGAAAAAAATGGGGTGGCTGCTGGTAAGAGAATGGAGTAGAACTTTTTTTTTTAATTTAAGATGAAAGAACTACTTATAGAATATTAATACTCTGCCAAGGATTTTATATGTTTTAAGAAATAGTATAGAAATCACAGTAAAAACATCAGCTTTGGAGTGAGAGTAGGTCTGAGCACTAGTTCTGCCATTTACTCATTGTGAGACCTGGGGCAAGTTAATTAAACTTTGTAACCTCAATATTCTGATCTTTAAAAAAGGGTGACAATACCTGTTTCATTTTTTTGTTGTTAAGATGAGATAATATATTTGGGGTATATTATCATGATTGAAATATGTAGTCAAAATCTATGTCATATACTATTAAATAACAAAGTTTCTGTCCTTAAGTGTACAGTCTAGTGATGAAATGTATAATCAATTATAGTGTAATAGATATATGTTAATAAAATATATAAAGAATGCTACAGGCACCTAGAAAAATGGTAAATAACTATTTTTAATGGAAATGAAATAAAATGAAAATAATTCTAGGTTGAGGTCACTAACTCTATTGAGGGAAACAAAAAACTCACCGTAAAAATAACGCACGTACAGTCTTGAAGGAACAGAAGAAAAATGTATCAGTGTAGTTATTCCAACAGCACTAAGGATTTTCAATTTATTTGGGGACTTTTTGGGGGGGGGATTTTTAAAAAATTGACTTTAGATTTAGTAGGGTTTTTTTATTGAATTAAATGATAGCACATATCTATTGGTTGAAAATTAATCTGATTTTTTGAAATAACTAGGAGTAAGTTTTAATTAAGTCAGAAGAATAATTTTAGTCATTGAGCTGATTAATAATATTTTTAAAGACTCACTTGTTACATGAAATTCATTCATTTGCCCAAGAACAATTACTGAATTCTTACTCTATCTGATACTGCTTATGCTGCTATGGCCAGAATGAAAAATTTTAAAAAGAAAATAAAATGACAAAAACCACAAAAAAGATCTTTGTATCATTTGGCAAAAGCAAACAGAAATATAAGCAAACACATTCAGGAAGGGACCATAAGAGAGTAGATTGAAGTTCCCATCAACCAACAAAAGAAAAGTGGCCAATTATTTCTAATGATACAAAAGAGTTTACAGAGAAGGTGAAAGAGTGTCTTGAAAGATAATTAGGAGGCGAACCATGAGAGACTACGGACTCTGAGAAACAAACTGAGGGTTCTAGAGGGGAGGGGGGTGGGGGGATGGGTTAGCCTGGTGACGGGTATTAAGGAGGGCACGTTCTGCATGGAGCACTGGGTGTTATATGTAAACAATGAATCATGGAACACTACATCAAAAACTAATGATGTAATATATGGTGATTAACATACATAAAAAAAAAAAAGATAATTAGGTGTTCCCAAGGTAGGCAGTAAAGACACTGTACTCTTTTTTTTTTTTTTTTTAAGATTTATTTATTTATTTGAGAGAGCGAGAAAGTACATGAGAGGGGGGAGGGTTAGAGGGAGAAGCAGGCTCCTCGCCGAGCAGGGAGCCCGATGCGGGACTCGATCCAGGGACTCCAGGATCATGACCTGAGCCGAAGGCAGTCGCTCAACCAACTGAGCCACCCAGGCGCCCAAGACACTGTACTCTTGACAGATGGAGGACCCCTAGCAGAGGCATGACTTCTCAGTTTATAGTTAGGGTAAATAGATCAAATGCAGAATGACTGGGTGCAGGGCCGTAGAGTGGGGTTAACTTCAGAGATAAAGGTGCAGAGATAGGCAGGGGCCAAACCACTGGGAGCCTTGTGTGCTGTGCTAAAGGATTTGTATTTTACCTTATGAGAATTGGGGAACCACTGAAGAATTTCACAAGCAGAATTCATTCTGTGCAATAGAAGAGGACTTTGTAATTGAATATCAGGTCTTTGGATAAGGGAATTAAGAGCCTAAGGGAAGATAAATGTTGTCATCGTCCTAGTAAAAGGAGGAATTGCTTTTGCATAGAAGGAACCATGGAGTACGTAAAAATCGAAGGCCACATGTCATGTCTCCATTGATTGTGGTAACACTAAGATTAGGATAAGTGGTGCTATCTAACACCATCCTCGGAGTCCCAGAAATATCGGCACATATTTCTCAGTGAAAAAGGACAATATTGGGGAATCAAAGCATCTTCCAAGAAAGCCAGATCTGGTAAAGGGGGGATGAGACGTAGGTTGGTTTTCTTCTATTTGAGGTGGGAAGAAAATTGACTGTCAGTGCAGCATTGGAGACCCCAGAGAAATGATTGAAAGCTAATGGAGTAGTGTCATAGGAACAGCAAGAAAAAGTGGAAATAATCATGAAATAGCCATAGATAGGGCCTATGAATGCCCTGAGATTCTGAGTAAAGACTTGAGGTGGAGGGAAGGGGACAGAGGAGAGCAAGAAGGAATGAACTGTGTCAAGAAGGTACTTTTTTCCTTCTTGATTTAATAAGTGTCTCTAAAATGAGAAACTAGGAGCCAATCACCCAAAATTAGATGGTAGTTTGCACATGCATAGATAATTATTATCAAAAAACTTGACTGTTTAAATAAATTTATAATTGGCTTTCATGGGAAAGTGAAGATTACATGTTTCTTCATTGTTATACCTGGAATCTACTTCCCCCAACCCCAAATAGAGGGTACCTTTACATCCACAGTCTGTGAATGATTAATAATTCTGTTTTTTCCAATTTCCCTTTTTGATCAGTTTGGTAATGTGGATTGGACACTTGTCTAGATTTCTAAATGGACTTTTAATCTGTTGAACTGTATGGTCAGTTATCTATTAGTATGAGCATATCTATCACATCACTGAATCACATCAACTGGCAATATTTTAAAAAAAATCACATCTTCCACTTTAAAAAAGAGAGAAAAAGAATCCTTGATCTTTATTGGATAAATGATACTGCCAAAATAAAGATTAAACTTACATTTCATTCCAGTTGACCAAGAGAAAAAACAATTTTTTGACTGGAATATTTCTGTAGCTTCTCACTTGGCACAACTTCTTTCCAGCATATGTAAGCCAACAGGAAAAAGAAAATGCTTTATAGCTAAAAACAAAAATATTCAAAAAGCTGAAAACTATAAAGAAAGCAGTTTTCTATATGCTATTTTTATAGTTATTTCTATATTTATATATATTTCTATATTTCTATATGGGTCAATTATTTTTATAGTTAAAAGTCAAATGATAAAGTTATATCTGCTTGTGTAAAGTATGCTTTAAAAATAACTTTAAAAATTTATGTTGGGTGACATCTGCAAGATGGTACAACAGAAAGCCCCAGACTCTCCTTCCCCCATGGAAACACCAATTCAACAATACATGGATCAATTCCCTTTGTGAGAAATTCAGAAACAAGAAACTCTTGCACTCCAGGCAAGCACAAACCAGTCACATAGAAATCAGTAGGAAAATTTGTGTCCTTTTCCAGAACTCCTTCCCTGGCAGAGTGCAGTGTGATCAGGAGGAAACTCCCAACTCTCAGCCTTTCCCTGGGGTGGGAAAGAGAAGACTGAACATATGTCTAGCATTCAGACTTTTTAAGGGGCTATCTAAGGGACTAGTTTCTGTCCTGCCTAAATCTAAATGCTGAATAGGAATGGGTGCCAGGTTGGGGGCCTCTGAGAACAAAGCCAATGGTTTGAACTAGCACAAATTCACTTGCCACTGTCCCATCTCAGTGCAAAATGAACAGGAAAAAAATCCCCAACTCATTGCAAAATGAACAGGAAAAAAAACAAAACAAAACAAAAATCAACTTCTGGCTTCTCAGTGCAAAATGAACAGGAAAAAATCCCCAACTTCTGGCTTCTACCAAAGGAGAAAAAGAGCTGGAGTGTGTGTCCAATGTTCCAGCTTTTTGGGTGGCAGCCTGAAAGACTGGTTTCTGTCTTACCCAACTCATAGCATAGATGGGACCTGGCATACTCTGGATGCCAGGGAAGAGCTGAGAACCCAAAACAGATGAGGGTAGGGCTCCTGGGTGTCTCGGTAGGTTAAGCATCTGCTCAGGTCATGATCCCACATCAGGCTGCTCAGTGGGGAGTCTGCTTCTCCCTCTGCCCCTTTCCTGTTCATACTCCCTCTCTCTCTCAAATAAATATGTAAAATCCTAAAACAAACAAAAAACAAAAACAGCTGGGGAGTTTACAGCAGCACCAGGAAACTTGTAGTGCCATAGACAGACACTAGGGAGAGCAAGAAATTATGAGCGCCTGAAGAAAGAAGTAAAACTTCTCTAATTGGGAATTTACACACACAAATCCAGAGAATAGAAAAGGTTTGAAAGGCCCCAGAATCTCTAGTTGTGCTGATTGGTGACATTATTTCTCTGTATGAAACCAATCAATAAAAACTGTATTTTTTCAAATGCACAGACGTCAGTACAAAGTAACAAGGCATACAAAGAAAGAGGGGAATATGGCCCAACAAAAGGAATAAAATAAATCTCCAGAAACCAACCTTAAATAAATCAAAGTATATGAATTACCTGACAAAAAACTCAAAATAATCATCATAAAAATGTTCAACAAGCTTGGGAAAATGATGCATGAACAAAATGAGATTATAAACAAAGAGACAAAAAATATTAAAAAGAACCACACAGAAATTTTGGAACTGAAGAATATAATGACTGAATTGAAAAAAAAAAATCACTAGAAAGTTTCAAGAGTAGACCTGATCAAGCAGAAGAAAGAATCAATGAACTCAAAGATAAGTCATTTGAAGTTATCCAATCAGAGGAACTAAAAGAAAGAAGAATGAAGAAGAGTAAAGAAAGCTTAGGGGACTTCTGGGACATCATCAACTAGACAAATACACACATTATGTGAGTCCAGGAGGAGAAGATAGAGAAAAAGAGGCAGAAAGCTTATCTAAAGAAATAATAGCTGAAAAGTTCTCAATTGTGTGTAAGGAAATTGACATCCAGATTCAAGAAACCCCACAAACCATACTAGGATGAGCCCAAAGAAGACCACACTAAAACACATTAAAATCAAATTATCAAAAGTCAAAAAGAAAGAATTTTGAAAGCAGCTAGAAAAAAGTGACCCACCAGATAAAAGAGAGATCTTATAAGTTCATCAGCAGATTGCTCAGCAGAACCCTTGCAGGCCAGAAGGGAGTGGGATGATATATTCAAAATTCTGAAAGACAAAATTGCTAATCAAGAATATTATATCTGGCAAAAGTGTCCTTCAAAAATAAAGGAGAAAGAAATACTTTCCCAGATAAACAAAACCTGAGGAATGTCATCACCACAAGACCTGATTTATAAGAAAGGCTAAAGGTAGTCTTCAAATTTGAAATGAAAATATGCTAGCTAGATAGCAACACAAAAGCATACAAAAGTACAAAGGTCACTGGTAAAGGTAAATATGTAGACAAATACAGAATACAGTAAAATACTTTAGTAATTGTGCATGAACCACTCTTAACTCTGGTATAGAATGTAAAGGGCAAAGTATTAAAAAACTATAATTATAACAATATGTAAAACAAAATGATGTAATTTGTGGTATCAATAACATAAAGTGTGGTGAGGGGAGAAAAAAAGAGTAGAGTTTTTGTAAGTGACTGAAGCTGTTTTAAATGTAAGATGCTTTATATAAGGTCTATGGTCATTACAAAGAAAACGCCTACCTAGAGAAGATACACAAAAGAAAATAAAGGAATCAAAGTATGTCATTACGAATAATCAACAAAACACAAAAGAAGACAGCAAGAGAGGAAAAGAATAGAAAACAGTGGAAAAAAATGGCAAATAGTTAAGTCCTTCCCTATCATTAGTTACCTTAAATGCAAATGGAGTAAATGCCATAATCAAAAGACATAGCATAGCTGAATGGATAAAAAAACAAGATCCAATTACATGCTGCCTACAAGAGACTCACTTTAGATTTAAGGACACATATAGGCTGAAAGTGAGAGAACAGAAGAAGATGCTCCATGCAAATGGCAATCAAAAGACAGTAGGGGTTGCCTTTCATACATAAGACAATGATAGACCTTAAGTCAAAAAATGTCACAAGAGATAAAGATGGACATTATACAATGATAAAAAGGGTGAATTCGTCAAGAGGATATAACAATTGTAAATATATATGCACCCCAAATTGGAGCAAATATATTAAGCAAACATTGACAGAACTGAAGGAAGAAACAGACAGCAACACAATAATAGATTTCAATAGCCCACTTTTAATAATGGATACAACAACCAGACTGAACCTAATAGATAAATACAGAACATTCCATCCAATAACAGGAGAATACACATTCTTCTATAGAACACATGGAACATTCTCTAGCATAGATCATGTGTTAGGTCACAAAACAAGTCTTAACAAATTTGAAAAGACTGAAATCATACCATATGTATTTTCTGACCACAATGGGATAAAACTAGAAATCAATAGCAGAAAGAAAACTGGAAAATTAACAAATTTATAGAATTTAACACTTTTGAATAATCAATGGTCAAATAAGAACTCAAATGGGAAATTAGAAAATATATTGTTACAAATGAAAATGAACACACACCATACCAAAACTTATGAGATGCAGCAAAAGCAGTACTAAGAGACAAGTTGATAACTATAAATTCCTATATTAGAAGTATAAAAAATAAACAACCTAATTTTATATTGAAGGAACTAGAAAAAGAGGAACAAACTAAGTCCAAAGTTAAATGAAGGAAGAAAATCATAAGTATTACATCAGAAATAAGTGAAGCAGAGAATAGAAAAAAAAATAGAAAAAAATAAACAACAGTCACACCATATATACATGCAGGCTTGTGCATATAGCTTTATCCATATTTATCTGGCTACATAGTTTTTCCACATTAATTAAAATTAAAAAGTATGTACTAATGGTTAAAATATTGTAAGAAACCATCAGAGTAGCAGTTTATTATATTATACATCAGGTCTTTATAAGAAAGAAAAGGCATAAAAGAATCATCCCATGGATTTAAAGAAATATGTGTATGTGTATAGTGTTTTTTACATACTCATCTCATAGATTGATTGATTTTTAAAGATTTTATTTATTTACTTGACAGAGAGAGGGAGAGAGGACGCATGCATGCACAATGGGGGGGAGGGGCAGAGGGAGAGGGATAAGCAGATCCCATACTGAGCGGGGAGCCAGGCACAGGGCTGAATCCCAGGACCCTGAGATCATTACCTGAGCCGAAGGCAGACACTTAACCAACTGAACCACCCAGGGACCCCTCATCTCATGGATTTAAAGAATTATGTGTATGTGTACACAGGTAGTGTTTTTTACATACAAAGGTAATTTTTTTCTTTCTAATTAACTATTTGTACAGGTCAGTTACTTGCAAAAATACATATAGCAATTTTTTCTCTTTACTGAAATGGTTTCAGTTCTTCTTTGAGGTGTGAAATGGGTGGGTACGATAAATCCATTTATAAATTACTATTCTCTTATTAACTTTAATTGATTTAATCCACATTCTCTTATAGATTTAATCTATAAGGAATTTAAAATAATGATTATAATATTAATCTAATTATGTTATTCAAAAAAATGCTACATAATGGAGCCAACCTAAAATCTAGCAACGCTCCATGCATAATTGTGGTTAATTTCCATTGTAACTCAAATAACTCTTGGCTAATTCCCACTTAATCAAGGTACTAATTTCATAAAATATCTACCACTCACAACTTGATAGGTATCAGAGTGATTCTTTTCTATTAAGTACTACTCCCTGTGTGTGTGCTCTCTCTCTCTCTGTTCTATTAATTAGCATTAGTCATTTAAACTCAAATGTTAAAAAAAAATTAGGGCAATCACTAAATAGGATGAGCATTCTCTGTTTCCCTAATGATATACTGACAATATGCAGCGATTTTTAATATGGAGAATGGGAAAAGACTTGAGGAAAAAGGAATGTGCATTTGGGAATGAAGTTTTTAAAAATGGTTTTAAGATAAATCTACACTGGTAAATTTCAAAATTTTTACAAAATATTTGCTCCTGCAAATAAGAACAAGACAAATTATACTCTAATTAGAAGCCATGTAAAAATTAATATTTTTATGAAAAACTCACTACCACTCACCTGTGCACCCAAGTCTCTGGAATGTTGTGAACTGCATACACTGTGAAGCTAAGGTGGGAATGGAGCCCAGGATTTACATAGGAAATGTCATCAGGTACATTTAGAGGCTGGAAATCTGCATAAAAGCTGCAGCAATAGGCATTGATAAGCTGGTAGATGGACCTGGATAGTTCAGTTGTCACTTTCTCTATCAAGCCTAAGGGGAAAAAAAGGATAGAAATCAGGGTCATCTTTGAAGGGCCATATTTATTGTAAGCCATGAATTACAGCTTTGAAATATCTTATGATAAATTTTAAATAAAATTTAATTAAAATGACCATCCACCAACTGAAGCCAATTAGCCATCTGTATGCAGCCTGAATTAGCTGATAGTAGTGTATATAATCAATAAGCTTTCATATCTTCAGTTGCAGAAATCTTGGAAGCATGGCCTTTAATCATAAACCAAAGTTTTTGATTACTAATTTGGCATTCTATAATTTGGAATATTTTTTGTTCCAGTTTATTATTGTTTAGAATTAATTTTCAGACAAGGAACAGATTTTCTAAATGGCTTGTAAGTACTTCAAACAAATCCCATCTAAAAATTAATCATAATAAATTTGACAATGCTATGATGCTTACCATTAACTGAACACTAATCATATACATTGTGCTGCTGTAAAAAGAGAACAGTAATAGTACCTGGTTGGGATCTGAAATAAGCCTGAAATGAAAGATTTATGATGCTTACTAAATCTCTTCAAAATCAAAGCCTTAAGTTTTACTATTAGTTTTTTAAGAGGGGTTTATTGATTATTCCTAAAAGTAACTTGTCATGAAGGAAGAAAATGAAAAAAAAAAAAAAAAAAGACTAAGTACAGGGGCTAATAGCTCCAAGTGTGTACTAAATAAAGGCATACCAATATATCCTAGACCATATGAAAAGACCTAATCACTGAATTTAAGGTAAACTTTCCTGGCTTTCGTTCTCCCAATAAATTCTCTTCCCTGGAAAAATTCCTACCTGATAGGAAGGAAGAAAAGACTGATGAAAGGGACCAGGTAGTACAGGTTGTGAACTTTGAATCAAAATCAGGAAAGATGACGCCATTACAATGGAGAAGCTTATGAGGATGATGAACGTTATCCCACGGGTGGAGTTCAGTGTCAAACTTCTTAGTGGGGCCAGTGAAAAATTCTCACCACTGACATTTTGTATGCATTAATATGCATATACTTTAATATGCTCACTTGTGATTGTTTTTAATATTCCACTACAGTAGTGTTTCAAAAGTTAAATGAGTAAACTCAAATATAAAAGCTCAATCATTATTATTTTTTAAGCCAGATCAGGAATATCTTCGACAAATATTTAAGCGATAAAAGGGTTTAGGAAATGAAAAGACAGTATGAAGTGAAGTTGTGAATGGAAGCTCTGGTGCCCTCCGCGGAGTCCTCATGCCTTGACGGGCTTGGCTGAAGGAGTCTCCGGAGGGTTCGCACAGCTAGCTGTGGTCATGGTCAAAGACCCCTCGGTGTGAATCTGTCCATCGTCCTCACACAACATCTGTCAGCCTTCGACCAATCCCCAAAATAGGCTCCTTAAATCCTACAGGTTCGTTCTGGTAGACAAGCGAAGGCAGAAAACCCTGGGAAAGAAATCAGGCTGTTCTGATCTGAATGCTATCCTTTCCCATCCTGGGCCAGAAAAACATGCGGAAATGCCACATTTTAGATATTTCTACTTCTCTGCCACTACGTCCTGAAGAAATGACATGGAACCGCAGCTTAGCCTGTGGTGGGGGGAAGACGGAGAAGGAATCTGCGGTTCTTTAGTGGAACCCACTGAACTAGGCACAGGGCGGAGGAGAGCGGGCGATCTTGTCAGGAGGCCTGAACTCTGTGTCCCCGAGGGTCCGGAGCGCTACCTGGCCACTGGGCGGGACCACCAAGTGGGTAATGCCGCGGCGGCCGAGGGGGAGGCGGAGCCAGCCCTGTGGAGGAAGTGTGGCGCCAGACACACCAGGTTGCGAAAGACCGCATGGCCTCAGAACTGTTTTGCTGCCTGGCGTCTGCTGGGTGGATGCAGTCTGGGAGGACACTTCCCTTCGGGCTCTGCCTTCGTAATACCCTCCGTTTCTGGCTTCCGCTGAGACTTGGGCAGGTTCCACTCCGTAGGCTAGAGGGGGGCTCCTTCCCTCAGCAAGTCTGTGCTGACTTTGCAGACTCCTGGCACGTGTTTGCTGATGATGTCAGTGGTTTCTATTACATGAGTCATGGAGGAATGCTCGATTTTATTAAGCTTCAACGCCACGCTTGCAAGTCGGACACCAGTTAGCTCAGCCCGTTTGCCACCTAGGGGAGTCGGTAGTGAAATCCTTTTGCGAGGAGGCATCCACGCGGTATTGGGAATACCTGATGAGGAAGATGGGCTGCATGGCCTTGCCTTTGTAGTGGTCCAGCCTGGGACCCCAGTTCTTCTCCAGACTCGAGGTTCTGCTTCCACACGCTGACCAGGACGTTGCTCTCATCTGTCCCAGATGTGGTCCCAGACACCCCTGTGGCACACGGCCCCGCCCACGGTGGCGGCGGCTTGGCGCACTTCTGCGCCTGAGCGGGGCGCACCCACAAGTCAGAAAAGAGCACTGTGACCAAACCCCAGGCCGCTGAGGAGTCATCGAGAGAACGAGTAAGCACATCGTTAGAAAATTCGTTCTTAAAAAAATGACCGTGATTTGATGTGATCTGATGTGATTTGATGCACGCCAAGTCAAGGCACACAATAGTGCTGTTGTTTTCTTCAAACACATGCACTTCCTCATCAAGTTGTTTCTGAAGCATAAATTGCTTGTAGTTTCTAGTTGTTATGCAAAGAAAATTAATACAAAGAGCCAGCTTTTTCCTCCATTAGTCTGCAGTGTTCCAATACCAGACAATTTGGCTACTCAAAAAAACAGGCTATTTTCAGCATGGAACTTCTTCCCACATCCTGCCGCTCAGTAGGTCTGTCCATAATTAAATTTGTTGTTGTTGTTGTTGTTCAACACATGCTGTTATTCACTTAGTTATTCATAAATTTGTACAAAATTTATAAGATGGCCAAATTTTTACTTAAAATGGTATCCTTTGTTGAAACAGTCTGAGGGGACAAGCAGCATGAAAGAGCTCTAATTAAAATTCTCTGGGAAATCAGCAGTAGCAATTAATAAAACAGAAGAGTAAAGCAGCATAGGATTCATCAAACTCTGGAGGCCAACCAACAGAGATTCTCCTGACCAACAGAGGCAGGGAATTATAAATTTATAGAAACATGTTTCCCAGGTCCCCACATTGTGCTGTTGGTACTCTGAAGCAGGGAAGTAACAAACTTCTTGTTAATTTCCCAATCTTGTGCAAATGAATACACATCTAAAATAAATCATGAAGTTGGTTCAGAGATCTTATTAATTCAAGCCCCAGCATGTATTTTGGGAAATCTTAATTATTTGGATAATTACTCAAAAACTACTCTTGATTTCTTGTGCAGAAATACAGTTCTTGGTTATAATTTGCTTTTTTGAGGTAATATAGAGATGTGTGCTTATGCATTATGCTTTACTATCAGAATTCTGGATGAAGAGTACATTTCAGATATCCTCAGAAATGTACTAGGGACACAAGATACTGGGCTTGGTGGTGAAATATGGAGTAATAATGTTTATCACACCTGATTTTACTCTGAGAAAAGAGTTATAGTATCATAAAATTGAGAAACAGTGGCAATATATATTTGATTAAAATACATTAATTAGATTTGTGATGACTGAGCATTGAATATAAACCTTTGGGAACATTCCTACATAGTTTTGTGGGATCTTATATCTCAACCCCTGAGGAATATGGGATAAGGGCATTTTATTCAGAGGTCCAATTCCGTATAAGCATACCTCCAGCTTGTTGACTCCTCATTCTATCACTTGGACTCTGTTAGTGATATTTTTAGGGGGTGTCTATCTTTCCCTTTCGTTTATGATATTCTAGAGTTTTATGAATGCCTGGAACAGGGATTTTTGCACTAGCAATTTGTTTGTTTTTTCTCCATGCCCTCTGCCATCCCATTTTCCTCTGTGATGTGAAGTGGAGTTCTTCAAATGTAATTGTGTCTTCTTTTGAGTGGTGGGAATTAGATTTGAGAAGATATCCCTCTGTCCATAACTTTCTGACCAAAACGATTAAGGCTTGGAAGGCAGGTTGGGGTTATCATTTGCACTTCACTATGACCTCTACACCTAGAGTGTGAGTTGAACTTCTGTGGGTCAGTTTCCTTGAAGGTACTTAGAGTGTTGATATGCCAAATACCATTTACTTTTGCAAACAGGAACAACTCTGACCACATCCTGCACATTAAATACTATCATGACTTCTATACATATTAGGGAAACTTAGGATCAAAGAATTCTTTAAGATCACACAGAGTCAAAAAGTGGCAGAGTTGAAATTAACCAGATTCCAAAAGCTGGGTTCTTTGCTCTATATCATACTATTATTCATCCACTATTTTCTGTAGAGAAGAAGTCCTTCTGTGGCTTGCAGTTTTATAGGCTCAGAGCCTCTGTGAACACTAATTATTCCAGAACCTAATCCTCCTACATATTATGTTAGATTGGTCTTTCAAATAGAGTTTGAATTTAAATCTGAAATTGGTGACTTTGAAGAAAGACATCTGCTACTTTTCTGACTCTTCTTGCATCAACATATAATTAGCTAAATAAATTTTTATAGTTTCTTGGAATAGTTATAAGAATATTTTCAGTATTCCTTTCATTTTTATAGATCTCTTGACTTTTCCCATTTCTTAAAAATGTCAGGCTAGAAGTTTAGGGAGTGGATTTTTATTCACTTGCAGAATAATCATTTCCATCAGTAAAAAGAGTTTTAGCAAAGCATTTTCACTTCAAAAAATATTTCTGTGTATGTGTTACCTTTATATTTGGATGAATAATTGAAAAAACAATAAATTATTTTGGGTTCTATAACTTGTTTTTTTTTTTTAATGTGGATACATGTATGTTTTACCTTTTGCTGAAGTCTCTGAATTTTGATGAAAATTCTGAAAAAGAAAAATAAGTGCAAAAATACAATTGTTATTTAGAAAACAAATTCACAAAACAATCAAACTGATAATATCCAGATCTAAACACTAAAATTTCTCTGGCATGGTAAAAACACGAAATATTTATTGGTGTCATATATCAGTGTTGCTTCATAAACAGAAGGAAGCTAAATTGTAAGATGAAAGAAAAGCCTTCTGAATATTTTAGTAAACAGTCTAGATTTTTTGACTGAAAAAAATTTAGAATAAGTTAAGCCTATTTAGTATTATTAGAAAAGTTCTGTATATATTGGCTAACCTCAATTCCCTTTTCACAGCAGTGAATGATTTTTTGAAATAAGTGCATTTTAATTCTCTGTTTAATATGTCCAGTTCTTATTATTAGCAGTTATTCAATTGCAGTTTTGGGCTGCAATGAAAAGAGGGCTGGATGGACGTGGGCAATATTATACAGACTCATGATATGGTTTCATTTTTTATTTATTAGGAGATTTTTAAAAAACTGATAGTAAAACACTGGTGACCATATCCTAAATTTTTAAAAAAAGTACTACCTGAAATTTTATTTTTTATTGTCATTTTTGTTCACTTCCATTAGTATGGTTTTATTTATTTATTTGCTTGTTTGTTTATTTGCATTTATATTTGTCAGAGGCCTAAAATTACTTTATTGTTTTAGGAATCACTGGTGATAAATTCATTATCACAAAACCTATATAAGGTGATTCACAGATTCACTAAAAATAAGGTTTCAGTACAAAAGCAAAAACATTTCCTAATATGATCCATTTAAATTAATGCTAATTTTTAAAAAATTTTGCTTGGACAAGTTTGCTTTTAATTAATGAAAGCTCAGTTTCTCAAACAAACTGAGGAATAATTGTTTTCTTGTAACAAAGAACTTGCTACAATATTCCTTTGGAGAGAAAACACTTGTATCATGTTTAAAATGTAATTAAATTTATATACAGCTTTTCACTTAAAAGCATTGTTCACATGAACCTTTTCAGAAGCATTTCTCTTAGGTATAATATTTCACTGGAGCATAGTTTCAACCACTAGGCTTAGTAACTACACATAAGATCTTCACCCCATCCATGTGGGTGAGACTATTAAATATGTTAGCCTGACTTCACTAGAATTCAATTTATTCAGAAATATAAACTTGTAGTTTAAAATCACCATGACATCCACCTACAGCACAATGTGTAAGACCATATTTTTCACTTTGTGTTTCATTTATTGTACGAACATGTAATGGAAATGTATTATGTTAGATTCTGGAATATAATTTTGAAGGATGGAAAATTGTTTCCAATGCTGAGTGAGAGCATGAGCGAGAGTATAACTGTATTTGTGATATAATTCATCATCTTGCTAAAACTTACATTTAATAAATACCTAATTACTTCTCTGTATGGCAGGAAATAGTCTCTTGCAAGTTGACCAAAAAATGCAGCCAAGGGAAAGGAAAGCTTCTCAAATTTGAGTTTGTTGGCAGAAGATTAATTTTTCTCAGTATTTCTTTAATCTTAGGTTCATGGTGGGTAGACACACTGTAGATACTTTGGCATTGTTAACTGCAGTTGGTTACTACACGAATTCTGAAAAATGTGCTTACTATTTGTACCAACATTCTTATATAGGTGGGCTCATGGTTAGGTTAGAGAAAGAGATGAACAAAAAGTTTGAATGAAGGTTAGAATAAGTGAACTTTTAAAGTGTATTCAAAATAAGAATCTGCTTATTAAGGGGTATTAAACTATTTTTTGCCATTGACATATATGAAATAAAACTCGTGATTGTTAACTCTATTTTTATGTGTCAATAATCACATATAATTTAGTGCTCATAAGTAGATAAGAAATGTGAAATATGAATATGAGCTTTTTTTGAGAATTATAATTGTTCATAGCTTTCCTAGGAAATACTCAGTTTTTCTTTGAAGGATTCTTTTGGCTTCAACTATATTGAAGTTTTGATATTTCTAAGAAAATTGTTATTTTTGTTCTTTTAGGGAGTTTCAGAAAATGAGTGTTTTAAAGATAAAGCTTTTTGTATCTAGTAATATTTTAATAGCATTAGAACTGTTTTATCCTAAAATTAGATTTTCCTCGTTCTTTGATCAGTTTTTTGTTTGTACTGATTCACTGAAAGCCGGACATAAAAATTGAAGCACAACCAAGTGGTCTTAACAGATGGAAAGACATGTGCCCACATTCATGCATGTGGTCTCCTCCTCTGGCAAAGGCTCACATCTGTCATGAGGCTGGCTATAATCAATGGTTGTGAGAAAATGAGAACCTAAGTGGTGCTTGTGCAAATTAAAACCTTCATGTTGGCTACATGGGAAGGAGTCTCCAAAACTACCACCAGCACCATCCCCACTACCTCCAGTTATAATAATGACTCATGCAAGAAACACTATCATCTGGACCTTTATTAACATTATTTGTAATGCTCATAGAAACCCTGCAAATTCTGTTATTATTTATTTATTTAGTTAGTTTTTTATGCATGCATACATGCAGTGAGGAAAGCTGAAACTCAGAGATGTGAGTTAATTTTCCCAAGGATGTTCAGCTAAAAACTGGTAGATACTGAGTTCAAGTCATATTTGCATGACCCTAAACTCTTTGTATTTTATCATCAGCTCTGGGTGCTTATACTGTCTCCCAAATGTGATCATCTAAGAGAAACTAGTAGCTTGTTGAAAGTTAACTCTCACTATCTTGTTATCCTGACTTAACTTTAGCTATTGGAAAGCTCTTCTTTTTTTTTTCAATATATTAATATAAATTCTTTTTTTTAAATTTTATTTTATTATGTTAATCGCCATACATTATATCATTAGTTTTTGATGTAGTGTTCCATGATTCATTGTTTGTGTATAACTGGGTTATACACAAAGAAAAGCTCTTCTTAGCATCATATAATTCTTAAGTTTTTGAGTTCATCAAAATACTTATTTTCACATCATACTGATGATAGGCTTTTCAAGACTATGTATAATTTTACCACTCTGACACAGAGTAAAAAATATGACCAGATTAAATGTGATCACTTCAAATTTTTTACCTTGTTATCATTTAAGAAGACCATGAATATTAAAATGTACATATAAAAACAGCTTTGGAGACTACATAGTTATTTCATTTTCTTCTATAATTGGAAGGTATAAGAGTAGATATTTTCCCTTTAAGAAAAATGTAATAAAATAAATAGTTATTAATTTCAGACATCAAATTTTGGTATTTATTGATTATATTTTTTAAATTTTGATTTCTTCTTTGCTTTGGGATTTTAGCTTTTAATGGATGTTTATCTGGAAAATCTTTTGATAGGATGATTCCACTGCTCCTGAGTCATCACTGTCACTATGTAATGTGAACAAGGTATTTAAATTTCTATATTTATTATTACTCTCTAATTTCAAAAACAAGTTCTAGTTAAAATAAGACTTATAAAATACATTAAGAAATTACTGATTTTTTTCATAGTCATCTATTTGAAACAATGATGATGATTTATATATACTAATATAATTGTCCACTTTCTAAATCAGTCTTTTTGAAATTTCAAGCCTGGCATATTCAAGGTAGTCTGTGCTGTTCCTTTCCATGCAGATAAGGAATGCATGTAATCACTCTCTGTTATGAAGTTTCATATATATTGAGGAAGAGGCTGTCAGTCACTTTTTCACATTTTATCTTATTTAATCATTATAGCAACCCTATAATTAATTATTATTGTTCCAATTTTACAGAAGAAGCCTGGCATATTCAAGGTAGTCTGTGCTGTTCCTTTCCATGCAGATAAGGAATGCATGTAATCACTCTCTGCTGTGAAGTTTCACATATATTGAGGAAGAGGCCTGGGTTCAAATCTCTATTTTGCCACTTATTAATCCTCTGTACATAAACATTCTAAGCATCAGATTTTAATAATAAAATTAACATTAAAATACCAACTTCATGGCACTGATATGAGGATGCATTGACATAAAATAAAAATGAAATAATAAATAAGTGAAACTATTTTATTATTGCAATGCACTATCAAGTATTAGTTATTATTATCATCATCATATCTTTCTGCTTCATCATTTGCTAAACTAATAACAAGATTGAATGGATTTATTGTGACCAAATTTACTAATCTTTTTCTTGGACAATAATCACACATGTAATTCTACATCAGATTTCTGAGATTTAAAAAAAAAAAATCACCTAATAGTTATATTTTAAACTGAAGGAAACAGGATATTATTGTATGCTTTGGGATCATATAAGCAGTGTGCATTGCAAATTCAGCAAAAGATAGCACAAAAACTAGTCTTTTCTTTCCTGTATATGTACTTGTCCATGTAAGCATGGATACTTGCCCCTGCATATACTGGTGCACATGAGAACCATTAATAGTCTATATAAACACTTGCCTGTGAATGTTATTATATAAACGTATTCCTCTAGGTAGAATGGTAGGATTGATTTCGGTCTCACTTGGAAGATATATTGCAGTTACAAACTTCAAAGGTGTAAGAAATTTCCTTTTAATTTAATTAAATCCTTTTGGTATAATAGAATCAAGTTTCCGTTAGCCCCAAATGATTGAAATATATGTGTGCAAACACATACACAGACACACACACACAAACACACAGTACTTACTCAAAATTCTTTCACTTTTCTTAATTATTGAACTCAGGTTTAAAATAATTACTGTCTAATAAATGAGTATATTTACCTCTGTTTTTCTCTGAAGAATTAGACGTAGTTCATTTACAGCATCTGTAATTTGTTTGGTCTCCACACACCCCAGAACACTGCATATATTTTTTACTTCTTCAATAATATTATCTACATTTTGCTATGGATGAAAATAAGAAGATGCAATTTATTTGGAATATATCTTAACTCTTTTCCATATTAAAAAAACACAACTACTCAATTATAACATGGAGAAGAAAAATTTATGAGTAATTCATATGGAAAAAGCCAGTTGTTTTATTTGCGTTTGAACTCAATATGAGTCAACATTGTGACATGCCTGACAGCAGATCTACTTCATTTTTAATTAAATTGAAAGCCATATACTCTCCATAAATAGGAAGTTAATATCCCCACCACATTTTCCATGTGCATAATCTGAACAGGAGTTTAGTTCTGGGTATGACATTTGAAACTGGACTTGACAAATTAGACTTTCCTAAAGAAGAGCAACCCAACTATTGATATACTATTAATATACTCATTCCAAACAGTATAGTAGACTTTGTTTTCAGCTCTCCAGTAAGGTTATCTGTGTTAAAATCCTGGTTCTGCTCCATTTGTACCTGCGACTATTATCTAATTAACTTCTGTGGATCTAAGTTTTCTCTTCTGTAAAATTGGAAAAATAATAATTAATTATAGGGTTGCTATAATGATTAAATAAGATGAAATATGAAAAAGTGTCTGGCAGAGAATAAGGGTTAAATTTTAGCTAATTAATTCATTTTTTATTTTTACTCATTCACACAAATTTTTCAGTTTATATGAGAAATCAGACACTGTACATCTCCATATAACCAATAAAATAAAAACTAAAAGGTAATAAAAGCTGTAAGAAGGGCATGTATTAGTGCTATGTATAGTTTTCATTCATACATTTGAAGTAGATGTGTGATGTGAATTTGAGGAAATCCTTAAAATATTACTAATTAAAATGCAAATGCTGAGTTGACTTGGGTCAGTGAGTAGCTAATTTACTCCATCTCTTTTTTTTTTTTTAAAGATTTCTATTTTATTTATTTGAGACAGAGAGAATGAGAGAGAGAGAGCACATGAGAGGGGGGAGGGTCAGAGGGAGAAGCAGGCACCCTGCCGAGCAGGGAGCCCGATGCGGGACTCGATTCAGGGACTCCAGGATCATGACCTGAGCGAAGGCAGTCGCTTAACCAACTGAGCCACCCAGGCGCCCCTAATTTACTCCATCTCTTAACTCTAGTCTTGAAGTGCTTCATATCTGATCTATTTATCTCATTTAATCTTCCTCAAATTCTGAAAGATAAATATTATATTCATTACATTCCTGAATCACTGAGATTGCTAGAATATGCTACGTGAATTATTCTAATAGTAGAATTAACTTGATGATTAGTTGGATGTGTGGGCCAACAGAAAGTTTGGATTTAAATGATTCTAAAGTTTTATGCTTGGGAAACCAAGAAGATAGGGTGCCATTAATTAAGGCAACAAATGTTGGGAAGATTTTTGATGAGATTATGATGCATGTGATTTTTGATATGCAAAGCTTAACCTTCCACAGCAACAACCAAGCAGACACAACCTCCAGATATTGGGAAATGCAATGAGATTCTAGCTCTGCCAACTGTTGGATTGAGAAAACACACACACACAGAACACATGCTCATATAAACACTAGATGAACTGTAAGAAAAAAGTGTAAATGTATAGCTTAGCTCAAAACAAAGGATAAATTTCTGGGTGACAGAAATTTCAAGAGGAAACTTAAAGCCAGAGCAGTGTCTTCAACATTGATGCTACAATGGCCTGAGGGAAATACCAGATTAGATTTAGGCCTTCAGGCTTAGAGACTGGTGTTTACTGCTCAAGATGGGACAAGTGCTGAGATTTTAGTCTAAACCAGTAGGGGGAAGTAGGGAAAGGAGCAGATCTGGAGCTGAAATCTCTGAATAAACCCCTGACACTGGATAGACTGTCACCTGCAAAAGGTGGGAGAAAAACTATGCCTACTGACCAAGAGAGCTTTTGAGAAAGGCTCTCTTTACCCAGGAGCTTTGGGTGAGGAAAATGACTACCTGAAAAACTGTATGTGTAGCTGGGAAGTATGGATTTATACTATGGCAGGAATTTATGCCAAAAAATTGTTCCAGAATATAGTGACAATTTTGGACCCAGGCAGAAACAAATGCAAAACTGCTCTATGGAAACACTTTTCTAAATTCCAAAACCCTGGAGTTTCCTCTAATATAAACACACATGGGTATATGTGTGCATGTGCATGTGCGCGTGCACACACACACACACAAACCCTCATAGAAGGGGAATAATCAGCCTAAAATTTACAAATCCTATTATGGCTGATCCACCATATGAGAGATTCTACAGGTATGAAACATGCATTAGCATCTGATTTCAAGTGAAAATAAAACTAAATTTGACCATAATTTTCATAGAGGTGACACCTGGCCAAGAATTTAGATATGACTGTCTAAAAAGAGACTATGGAGGAAAGAAAAATTGAACGTTGAGCATGTAACATTTCAGAACATCTAATATTACGTGATGGAGAAGGGAGTTTGGGTCACAGTTGGAGCACACAGTGTTGAGACCTGAGCCAGAAGACTATAGTTTAATGGACATAAACTAAAGGTAGTTGATGGTACTAGGAAACTTTAGCTTGGAAGAAAAAGAAGAAAAAGGAAACATGATAACTATTTCCAAGTATTTGAAGGCTGTTTAAGTGAAAAGGTGATTAGATGTACTGTAAGTAGCTCTTGAATGATAAATTAGAACAAATGGTTGGAAACTTAGAGACACTCATTTTGACTCAGTATGAGGAAAATCTTTGTAAAAATTATTTGTTCAAAATTTGAGAGACTGTCCTGTCAGTAGAGGGTTCCTCCACATTACAGGTATGCAAACAGTCAGGACTGTCGAGAGATTTTTGCATTACATAGGATTTGAACTGGACTACCTCTAAATTCTTTCTATCTTTGTGACTCTTTGGGTTAGTGAAAACTGACAATAATGCACTTTTGTTATTTTATGTGGTATATTCCAAGCCTATTTTAGGAAATATTTGATGTATCATGGACTCTGAGGAGCAGCATTTTAATACTTTAGATATTAAGCATATCCTAAAAGTATTTCGAACATTGGGGAAGATTGGTGACAACTTTTCTCCTCTGCATCTTTCTGGAAGACAAAACAAAACAAAACAACATATCCTTTCCTCCCCACTGTTATTTAGCTGTGATGGAGACCAAAGGAGCAGCCATGTAAGAGCTTGCCATTTTCCAAGTTTTATATAAACCTTAGTGAATTTCTGTTTATATTTACACACTGAAAATTGCCAAATTCAATTAATGAGTTTGGAGACAAATTGAGAAGTTAGAATTATTTTTGTTCCAGATGAACTAGTTATTGCTATTATAAATTGTTTGTTCCTTAAAGATTAAAAATAGTCTTTGGAGGGGTGCCTGGCTGGCTCAGTCAGAAAGCATGTGACTCTTGATCTCAGAGTTGTGGGCTTGAGACCTATGTTGGGTGTAGAGATTACTTAAAAATAAAATCTTTTAAAAATTAGTCTTTGGACTGTTGAATCTCAGATCTGTACCTCTGAAACAAATAATGCAATATATGTTAAGAAAAAAAAAAAGAAGAAGGTAGCAGGAGGGGAAGAATGAAGGGGGGGAAATCGGAGGGGTAGACGAACCATGAGAGACGATGGACTCTGAAAAACAAACTGAGGGTTCTAGAGGGGAGGGGGGTGGGGGGATGGGTTAGCCTGGTGATGGGTATTGAGGAGGGCACGTTCTGCACAAACAATGAATCATGGAACACTACATCTAAAACTAATGATGTAATGTATGGGGATTAACATAACAATAAAAAAAATAAAAAAAAATTAGTCTTTGGAGTTCCATTTCAGCTTAAAATATAGATATTTGGTCACACCGTTGCAATGAAAAAAGGCAGATAATATACAAAAATCATAATTTTTCCTGACCTCATTAGAGATTTGAGGTCACAAGTGACCAAATATACTGGATTCCAAAGAATGATAGGCCCCTCCAAGGAGAGATGGGGCATACAAAGTCTTTGACCTTTAGCAGAGCACAGGAGAAAGAGGTGACCACTATACAAGAGGGTAAGAATAAATTAACTAAAATTATAACAAATTCTTAAAGGGCCAGGTATGAACTAGCATGTCAGTTTGGAATATCTGGGAGTTTGTAACATAAGGAGAGTTTACAATCATTATTTAAGCTCTTTTCCATGGATGCTTACCAGCTGTTTAGGGGAAATATTGTTCAGGAAAATGAAGGTCCATTTAGTGGTCCAGTATGTAACAGATGATCAGTTGTTTCTGGGACACAGGCACAAAGGCCTGCCCATTTCTGTGGAGCCTTCTCTAACAAGAAACAAAAGTCTTATGCTGCTGGTTGCTGGTACTAGGAAAATTAAAACATTAAAAGGGCAGAACACTCTCTGTCACCCTGATCCCAGGCAAAAAATCTTACTTTGTGGGGAAAGGGAGAGAAAGCAAAGCAGTCTCCCTGTGGGTGAGAGGTAGACATAGCTGAAGATCCTTTGCCAGTGAGGGGAAAGTCAAAGCAAAAACCTTTGGCCCATGGGGAAGGGGAAGGATACTCTGTCTTGAGTCAGGATCCTACATGGATACCAATCAGAGGCCAGCTACCGGTGTCAGAAAGGGCAGAAAATCATCTTCTGTATAAGATTAACTACAGATATAAGGCACAGTTTGGCTGCCATGTGGAGGGGCAGGGATTCTCAGAAAGTTCCAATCTTGAGACAGTAGAACACAGTCTGCCTATGGCTGTGACTGATCATTACAACACAGACCTCCCTTTACCTTACTACAGAGGATGAGTCTATTTTGAATAATAAACAAAGAGCAGAGTAGTGCCGGGGGAGAGACAAGAGTATTGATAGGGACTATTTCTGTGGCATAGGCGAGCAGGGGCTGTTGAAAGCTGAAAGTGAAGCAGGAATACTGAGGAAAAAATTCTGGCAGCACAAGCCCCACTCTAAGTACAGGTAATAGTGGCTAACCACTATTTGAAGGAATTTGAAGTGTGAAGTGCCCTACGATAATGA